AGTGAGAGCTTTAAATTTTCTTTTTAATGTTAAATACATTCATTTTACATGAATTATAAAAGTTTCGCTATTTGTAGGTATGGTGTTATTATATTGTGAATCTATATTGAGAATTTGAAACTCTTCAATATTGATTTTGGTTTTTGAAAAATCACCTATTTTGAATTTTTTTCTTACTTGAAAAATCCAAAAACATAAAATACACAATTCTAATTTTAGTGAGAATGTCTTTAAATTTGTTTTTTAATATTAAATACATTCATTTTCTATGAATTATAAGATTTTCAGTATCCGTAGACATGGTGTTATTGTATGGTGAATTTCTATTGAGAATTTGAAGCTCTTCAACTTTGATTTTGGTTTTTGAAAAATCACCAATTTTAAATTTTTTTCTTACTTGAAAAATCCAAAAACATAAAATGCAGAGCCCTAATTTTAGTGAGAATGTCTTTAAATTTTCTTTTTAATGTTAAATACATTTGTTTTCTATGAATTATAAGAGTTTCAATATCTGTATGTATGGTGTTACTGTATGGTGAATCTCTATTGAGAATTTGAAGTTCTTTGACTTTTATTTTGGTTTTTGGAAAATCACTTATTTTAAATTTTTTCTTGTTTAAAAATCCGAAAACATAAAATACATAGTCCTAATTTTAGTGAGAATGTCATTAAATTTCCATCTTGATGTTAAATACATTAGATTTTCATGAATTATAAGAGTTCCATGAAACTGTAGGCATGTCGTTACTGTATGGTGAATCTCTTTCGAGAATTCGAAACACTTTGACGTTGATTTTAGTTTTTGGATAATCACCTATTTGAAATTTTTTCTTACTTAAAAAATACAAAAATATAAAATACACAACATTAATTTTAGTGAGAGAGTCTTTAAATTTGCTTCTTAATGTTAAATACATTTGTTTTCCTAGAATTATTAGAGTTTCAAAAGCTATAGACATGTTACTGTATGGTGAATCTGTTTTGAGAATTCAAAGATATTCGATCTAAATTGACTTTTTTTGAAAATCACCTATTTTAAATTCTTTTTTAATTGAAAATTTTGAAAACATAAAATACATAACCCTAATTTTAGTGAGAATGTCTTTAAATTTGCGTCTTAATGTTAAATACATTCATTTTCCATGAATTATAAGAGTTTCAGAAACTGTAGACATGATGTTATTATATGGTGAATCTCTTTTGATAATTCGAAACTCTTTAACATTGATTTTGATTTTTGAAAAATCACTTATTTGAAAATTTTTCTTAGTTGAAAAATCCAAAAACAAAAAATACATAACCCTAATTTTAGTGAGAATGTCTTTAAATTTGCTTCTTAATGTTAAATATATTCGTTTTCCATGAATTTTAAAAATTTCAAAAACTGTAGTTATTGTGTTGTGTGTNTTTGAAAATTTTTCTTAGTTGAAAAATCCAAAAACAAAAAATACATAACCCTAATTTTAGTGAGAATGTCTTTAAATTTGCTTCTTAATGTTAAATATATTCGTTTTCCATGAATTTTAAAAGTTTCAAAAATTGTAGTTATTGTGTTGTGTATGGTGAATCTCTTTTGAGAATTCGAAAATATTCGATGTAGATTTGGGTTTTTTAAAAATCACCTATTTTAAATTTTTTCTTAGTTAAAAAATCCGAAAACATAAAGTACAGAACCCTAGTTTTAGTGAGAATGTCTTTAAATTTGCTTCTTAATGTTAAATGCATTCGTTTTACATGAAGTATAATAGTTTCAGAAATTGAAGGCATGGTTTACTGTATGGTGAATCTCTTTTAATAATTCGTAGCTCTTTGACGNCCTATTTTAAATTTTTTCTTAGTTAAAAAATCCGAAAACATAAAATACAGAACCCTAGTTTTAGTGAGAATGTCTTTAAATTTGCTTCTTAATGTTAAATGCATTCGTTTTACATGAAGTATAATAGTTTCAGAAATTGAAGGCATGGTTTACTGTACGGTGAATCTCTTTTAATAATTTGTAGCTCTTTGATGNCCTAGTTTTAGTGAGAATGTCTTTAAATTTGCTTCTTAATGTTAAATGCATTCGTTTTACATGAAGTATAATAGTTTCAGAAATTGAAGGCATGGTTTACTGTATGGTGAATCTCTTTTAATAATTCGTAGCTCTTTGACGTTGATTTTGGGTTTTTTGAAAATAACCTATTTTAAATTTTCTCTTCCTTGGAAAATCTCAAAACGTAAATACATTTGTTTTCCATGAATGTTAAATATATTATATCTATATTATTGAATTCGATTCTTCGATGTTGATTTTGGTTTTACTTATTGTAATATAGTTACAGTATACGATGACACTATACAAGGGCATGACAAAAACACAGTTGTGATTAGCANCTCTTCCTTGGAAAATCTCAAAACGTAAATACATTTGTTTTCCATGAATGTTAAATATATTATATCTATATTATTGAATTCGATTCTTCGATGTTGATTTTGATTTTACTTATTGTAATATAGTTACAGTATACGATGACACTATACAAGGGCATGACAAAAACACAGTTGTGATCAGCAANGTTAAATATATTATATCTATATTATTGAATTCGATTCTTCGATGTTGATTTTGGTTTTACTTATTGTAATATAGTTACAGTATACGATGACACTATACAAGGGCATGACAAAAACACAGTTGTGATTAGCAAAAAAAAATGAGTTCAAGTGTAAGGAAGCAGTCGAAGAACAAGAATCTGAACAACCTCAGAATGTGGATAAATATGATTGTCATTATAAGGTTAATGGATGAAATTATTTTCAACGAAGAGCACAAGAGAACGTTGAAGAAGACCCCATTTTGGTTGTTATTTGAGAGCATTATAGACAAACATGTTGACAAAAAATGGTTCAGAAAAAATGACAAAATTATACTTGAGATAATTTTATGTTTCAGTGGCAACACTTCCAAATTTTGTATAGGGGTCGAAGAAGTAAAAATGCGGAGAAATGATGTGAGTCTGATATTTAGCATTCAAGACAATNATTTTGGTTGTTATTTGAGAGCATTATAGACAAACATGTTGACAAAAAATGGTTCAGAAAAAATGACAAAATTATCCTTGAGATAATTTTATGTTTCAGTGGCAACACTTCCAAATTTTGTATAAGGGTCGAAGAAGTAAAAATGCAGAGAAATGATGTGAGTCTGATATTTAGTATTCAAGACAGTTTTGAGGAAATTGACTCAACATTAAGTGGGAGAGTGTTGACTCCATTTGTTGAACGGAGATTTAAAAATGATCGAAGGTTGATAGCACAAATTATAAAGAGTAAACTTATCCAAGCATCAAGAGTTGGCACATAAAATGATTTCGAGGATGTTGCCAAATTACTGTATCTTTAATTGTTAGTCACTATTTTTTTCCTCACGAAGGGGCACACTCTAAACTAGGGGTATGTTCCATACATAGAGGATCTAGATAAGATTAAAAAATATAACTGGTCTCAATTAATACTTAATGCACTGATTTCATCCCTTACCAAAAAAAAGAGAGAGAGAGAGAGAGAGAGAAAGAGAGACACCTGACATTGTCATTGGATGCATCCTTGTAATCCCGGTTAGTGGTTTAATTAAAAGCTGTATGTTCAATTTACTTTCCTTGTTCTTTTATAAACATCACAAATTTGNAAAAAAAAAAAAAAAGAGATAGAGAGAGAGAGACACCTGACACTGTCATTGGATGCATCCTTGTAATCCTGGTTAGTGGTTTAATTAAAAGTTGTATGTTCAATTTACTTTCCTTGTTCTTTTATAAACATCACAAATTGGNTTAAAACCAAGAAGTGGCATTAGGGACGTTTGGGTCAAAGATACAACCATATTGGTGATCAAATAACCATATATATCATTTTATGTTGCAACATTTCAATTAATTATTGCTTATTTTGAAATACATAAATATTATGTTGAACAAAAGATGGATNCTGGTTAGTGGTTTAATTAAAAGCTGTATGTTCAATTTACTTTCCTTGTTCTTTTATAAACATCACAAATTGGTTTTAATGTTGAAATTAAATATTGCAGTTTTGGATTTGCGAGCATACATCAATTATTACACCAGATTGCTCGAAAAAAATTTCAAGGTTTCTCAAATGGAACTTAACACACCAGAGCATGGCAATCAAACACAAAAAGTTGGAAAAAAATCAAGGCCAAAGGCGTAAGTTTCAGTATTCGTTTACAGGTTAAAATCTAAGAATACCAAATGTTTAAAAAATTTATTATTGTTGTTGATACCGCTGTTTGTTTGCAAGTGATGAAGAAAAAATAGAAGAGAGCAAAAAAAAAAAGAAAAGTTGTTTATCATATCGTGAAGGATTACAAAGGAAAAGGGAAACAAGTTGATGGGATTGAGAGGAATGAAATTGTGAAGGAAAAATAGCAAAGTACCCAGTTGATCATAAGGGCAATGAGCTTGATGAAGAAGAACATTTTGATTATGATGTAGGGGACAATACATGAGAAGATAAGTAGCAAATGAGGCCATTAGATACTCTAGTTGATGTGATTCTCAGCAACTCGACACAAAATCAATCATTTGAACAGTTTGTTGCAATTAATTGAAAGGTTTATTGTACTTTTAACCAACTTTTGTTTATGGTATCAGTATATGTTGCAATTATTTGGTGTGTTTACTTTGGTTTTACTCTTTGGGGTGACTATGTGGGATTAACCTTTGTTTGAAAATTGTAGGTTGAATCTATTTAGTGTCACTCTTTGATTGTACTATATTTTACTATTTGTTGTCATGACATTCTAGATTGCAACAAGACAACCAATCATTTTATTCTTTCATGGCGACTCAAGTCACATAATTCATGTTGAAATTGATTGATCAGGACATATAAATATTAGATCTTGAGGGTTCAATTCAAGAAAGGAGGAAATAAAATGACACATCAGAGGCAGAGAATGTAAAACTGAAACAGATCGTGACATAACTTAAGCAGAAAAATAAGAGATGATAGAACAGATTAATAAGTTGTTTGTTCATGTCATAATCCAAAAATATGAGACTACTCATATTCTAGAACTCCTTCCACATAGAGCTGAAGATAAAGGAAAGAACAAATCTACTGTAAGAGGACAAGAAGTTGAGGAAAACAAAAGAGATCCAATGGATTTGAAGAAAGGTAAAACGTCAATGGTTCGAAAGCTGAAAGCAAAGGAGAGGAAGAGGAAAAGGGATGCAAACTATGAGTACAGCTTGAAGAAAAAAACTAAGGAACTCATGGAAACATCCAATGACATTATCACCATTGTTGATTCATCAAGGAAGACAAGAGAGAGGCAAGAGAAAGAAAAGTATGAAAGAGAGATGAAAAGGTTGTGGAAAGTTTGTCAGTCAATAGATCCATCCATATACAAAAAATTAAGACAAAAGGAATAAACTATGTAAGTGTATTGTATCATTTATATGTTTCTAAGACAGATTGGGAATCTTGTTTATCTTTTGGGGACTGGTTTTCAATATTTTGTGTATGTTGTTATTCTTTCATTTTTTAAGTATAATCGCGTTATAACTATGTAGGTCAATAGTATAGCCCGGAATGTCTGTGGGATGCTATATAAATGTTGAAGATGATTTGAAAGTGATGGTTCTTATTTTAGCCATGTTATATTGTTATAGATAATAGATTGTTGGGTCGATATGTTGCATGAATTTGATGAAGCCAACGAACAATCAACATTTAAGAGATATTGTTTTTTCTTCAACAATCTTTGAAGGGTAAGTTGGAATGAAATGAATGATTATAGAAATATTACAAATATTTTGAAATATGCATCTATCACATATTTAATCATCCATTTGACAAAAATTGTAGACCTTGGTGACTTCCTCACAGCTAGCTTTATGCATGTGAAGTTGAAATTGACAATACCCTCCTACTTGGGAGAAAGTGTTAATACCTCATATTTCTTATGAATTCAACCAGTGAAAGCAACGATGGATAGCCAAACCATTGGACACTTCTAGTATTGGATATTGATGGTGACCGTTGGACACACTACAATTCATTAAAACCAAGAAGTGGCATTAGGGACGTTTGGGTCAAAGATACAACCATATTGGTGATCAAATAACCATATATATCATTTTATGTTGCAACATTTCAATTAATTATTGCTTATTTTGAAATACAGAAATATTATGTTGAACAAAAGATGGATATGCAAATGTCAAATAGAATGTTAGTCGACACTCAAGATAAAGTTCTTCCAATTCATTCGTCCGACAATTGTCCACAATAAAGATCAAACTCGTATGTATTTAACATAATGCTTTGTGAATGATAAAAACACACATATTGATACCAAAAAAAATACACATAATGCAATGTCAACTGTGGCCTATATGTTGCTACATAATGAGGAAAATAACACTTAGCGAAGAAATACAACAAAATTTAACAGCAGCATAGGTGAAACAATTCTGATCAGAAATGATTGAACTGTTCTTAAACAATTCCAAATCTTGGACTGAAGAAGATTTCAATAAATAGAAGAAACTAAAGACAAAATATGGAGTTAAAGATTAATTGGATATAGTTGAATGTTGAGGGTTTATTGCATATATATCCATACTTTGACTTGCCAATTTTTGAAATGTAATTTAAGATTCAAATTTTAGGNGAGAGCAAAAAAAAGAAAAGTTGTTTATCATATCGTGAAGGATTACAAAGGAAAAGGGAAACAAGTTGATGGGATTGAGAGGAATGAAATTGTGAAGGAAAAATAGCAAAGTACCCAGTTGATCATAAGGGCAATGAGCTTGATGAAGAAGAACATTTTGATTATGATGTNTATGGGACTACCATTTAATGTTATTATTTTTTAGAAACTCTATTTCCTACCACTATTTACTGTCACTATATTGTATCAATATTTCCTGTCACTGTTTCAAATGGTACAAGTTGTATTAGTTCATAGGGTTCAAACATACTTGGCCAAAAAATTAATGGGGTCACTTTTTAGGGACACTATTTAGNATAGGGGACAATACATGAGAAGATAAGTAGCAAATGAGGCCATTAGATACTCTAGTTGATGTGATTCTCAGCAACTCGACACAAAATCAGTCATTTGAACAGTTTGTTGCAATTAATTGAAAGGTTTATTGNAAAATTAATGGGGTCACTTTTTAGGGACACTATTTAGTAAATAAATTAATAAGCATAATATTTTTCCAAATTTAAGCATAATATTTCATGTTTCCCATTTTTCTAATGATTTTTTGTTCATAGTGTCTATATTTTGCATTAATTTATTTTTCTTATTTTCTGTCTCTTTTTGGTGATACAATTTGTATAGCAATATTTTGAGGGTGTAACTCTTTGATGGTAATATATATTGTCATTATTTGGGGTCAATCTATTGTTCACTCTTTAGTAACACTATTTGGACACTATTAGGAGACATTATATAATGAAATTGATTGATGCCCATTGTCATTATCTTTTGTCACTTTTTGGTGACACTATTTGCATAGAAATATTTCTTGTCCCTCTTTTGATGTCATTCTTTGATAGCGGTATGTATTTCCACTATTTGGGGTTAATCTATTGTTGGCACTTTTTAATGACACTATTTGAGCACTATTAGACGGCATTATGTGATGCCACTGCTTGGTGTCATTCTCACTATATCCTGTCNATGACACATCAGAGGCAGAGAATGTAAAACTGAAACAGATCGTGACATAACTTAAGCAGAAAAATAAGAGATGATAGAACAGATTAATAAGTTGTTTGTTCATGTCATAATCCAAAAATATGAGACTACTCATATTCTAGAACTCCTTCCACATAGAGCTGAAGATAAAGGAAAGAACAAATCTACTGTAAGAGGACAAGAAGTTGAGGAAAACAAAAGAGATCCAATGGATTTGAAGAAAGGTAAAACGTCAATGGTTCGAAAGCTGAAAGCAAAGGAGAGGAAGAGGAAAAGGGATGCAAACTATGAGTACAGCTTGAAGAAAAAAACTAAGGAACTCATGGAAACATCCAATGACATTATCACCATTGTTGATTCATCAAGGAAGACAAGAGAGAGGCAAGAGAAAGAAAAGTATGAAAGAGAGATGAAAAGGTTGTGGAAAGTTTGTCAGTCAATAGATCCATCCATATACAAAAAATTAAGACAAAAGGAATAAACTATGTAAGTGTATTGTATCATTTATATGTTTCTAAGACAGATTGGGAATCTTGTTTATCTTTTGGGGACTGGTTTTCAATATTTTGTGTATGTTGTTATTCTTTCATTTTTTAAGTATAATCGCGTTATAACTATGTAGGTCAATAGTATAGCCCGGAATGTCTGTGGGATGCTATATAAATGTTGAAGATGATTTGAAAGTGATGGTTCTTATTTTAGCCATGTTATATTGTTATAGATAATAGATTGTTGGGTCGATATGTTGCATGAATTTGATGAAGCCAACGAACAATCAACATTTAAGAGATATTGTTTTTTCTTCAACAATCTTTGAAGGGTAAGTTGGAATGAAATGAATGATTATAGAAATATTACAAATATTTTGAAATATGCATCTATCACATATTTAATCATCCATTTGACAAAAATTGTAGACCTTGGTGACTTCCTCACAGCTAGCTTTATGCATGTGAAGTTGAAATTGACAATACCCTCCTACTTGGGAGAAAGTGTTAATACCTCATATTTCTTATGAATTCAACCAGTGAAAGCAACGATGGATAGCCAAACCATTGGACACTTCTAGTATTGGATATTGATGGTGACCGTTGGACACACTACAATTCATTAAAACCAAGAAGTGGCATTAGGGACGTTTGGGTCAAAGATACAACCATATTGGTGATCAAATAACCATATATATCATTTTATGTTGCAACATTTCAATTAATTATTGCTTATTTTGAAATACATAAATATTATGTTGAACAAAAGATGGATATGCAAATGTCAAATAGAATGTTAGTCGACACTCAAGATAAAGTTCTTCCAATTCATTCGTCCGACAATTGTCCACAATAAAGATCAAACTCGTATGTATTTAACATAATGCTTTGTGAATGATAAAAACACACATATTGATACCAAAAAAAATACACATAATGCAATGTCAACTGTGGCCTATATGTTGCTACATAATGAGGAAAATAACACTTAGCGAAGAAATACAACAAAATTTAACAGCAGCATAGGTGAAACAATTCTGATCAGAAATGATTGAACTGTTCTTAAACAATTCCAAATCTTGGACTGAAGAAGATTTCAATAAATAGAAGAAACTAAAGACAAAATATGGAGTTAAAGATTAATTGGATATAGTTGAATGTTGAGGGTTTATTGCATATATATCCATACTTTGACTTGCCAATTTTTGAAATGTAATTTAAGATTCAAATTTTAGGGTTTCAATTTTTGGGTTTGAAGAACACTTTTATTAACATTCAATTTTTCCAACTTATGTATTTGGTGAGACTCTATATGGGACTACCATTTAATGTTATTATTTTTTAGAAACTCTATTTCCTACCACTATTTACTGTCACTATATTGTATCAATATTTCCTGTCACTGTTTCAAATGGTACAAGTTGTATTAGTTCATAGGGTTCAAACATACTTGGCCAAAAAATTAATGGGGTCACTTTTTAGGGACACTATTTAGTAAATAAATTAATAAGCATAATATTTTTCCAAATTTAAGCATAATATTTCATGTTTCCCATTTTTCTAATGATTTTTTGTTCATAGTGTCTATATTTTGCATTAATTTATTTTTCTTATTTTCTGTCTCTTTTTGGTGATACAATTTGTATAGCAATATTTTGAGGGTGTAACTCTTTGATGGTAATATATATTGTCATTATTTGGGGTCAATCTATTGTTCACTCTTTAGTAACACTATTTGGACACTATTAGGAGACATTATATAATGAAATTGATTGATGCCCATTGTCATTATCTTTTGTCACTTTTTGGTGACACTATTTGCATAGAAATATTTCTTGTCCCTCTTTTGATGTCATTCTTTGATAGCGGTATGTATTTCCACTATTTGGGGTTAATCTATTGTTGGCACTTTTTAATGACACTATTTGAGCACTATTAGACGGCATTATGTGATGCCACTGCTTGGTGTCATTCTCACTATATCCTGTCACTCTTTGGTGACACTAGTAGCATATCAATATTTTCGTACCCCTTTTTTACTGTCATTCTTTGATGAAAATATATATTGCCATTATTTTGAAGTCCATCTGTTATTGTCACTCTTTAGAGACACTATTTGAGCACTATTAAGGGGCATTATATAATGCCACTAACTGGTATCCATTCTCACTATCTCCTGTCTCTTTAATGACACTATTTGCATGTAATATATTCGCGTTCCTTTTTTGGTGCCACTCTTTGATACCAATATATATTTTAATATGTGGTATCACTTATTTTATACATATTGTATTGGTCTACTTTTAGTTTATAAGTAACTATTAGTTGACACTCTTTGTTGTCATAAATTTTTTTATTTTTGGAGATAACTTTTTATGGAATTAAAAAAAAACTCACATCAATAAAACTAAATGAGCACTAGAAAAACCTTAATTTGAAACAGTAATCCAATCACAAAGGCTCATTCTAGGTTTTTTTGTTATGGCTTACTAACCGCCCACAACGACCACATCGAATTTGCCAAACAAGTTCACCCCGTGACCTTATTCTACATTTCTTTGGTTTGTCTGGCTATTTCTTAGATGATGATGACAATATCTTTGCTTCGTCCACCGAAAAATCTGGACAACCAAGAGTTGGGATAGAAAATATAGCTTCAGAAAATGATTTCTTACATATGCTCACATATTAATAATCTCCAAACTCTTTCATATTCCTCTCATTTTTACGTATCGCAGCTATCGTATGAGAATAAGGAAAGTCATTAATTTGCCACTAAAAAAATGTGCACGTTCCATTCTGAATGTCAACAGAAACTGAAGGATGTGAGTTGACTTCATATACTGTGTTGCTTGAATCCCTCGCAGACCAAGAACTGCCTTCAACAAATAAAATATGTAATTTAGATTCCATATCAGGACACAAATTTTCTTTCCATGTGTAGGATGTAGCCAACCTGCATCCCATCTAATTCATGATCTATTCCCTTATAGTGCCCACCATGCTTGTGATCAGTAAATTTCGTGTCTTAATTATCCAAGCATTAAATGACTCCACTGTATCTCACCATAACGGTTGCCTTTAAAATGAGAATTTGCCCAGTTTTCATAAGGAAGATTATCCAAGAATCTATCCACGTTGGGTCCAACTTCACGTCTTAAAGCTTCAATCCTACTCTTAAATATTGAAATTGTTGGAGCATATGCACACTCACAAAACAAAATTACCAGATAATTTCTCATGACATTTGAAAACCGAGACCCGCTAAACTTGTCCCTCAAGTTTGCCTTCAAATGCTGCAAATAAAAAGCATGGTGGCACCTCTAAAAAACCTTGAGCATAGCTTCCAACAACCTAGCATTGCGATCAAACACAAATGTAAGCTCTCGCTCAAGATCCAAAACCACTAACAATTATTGTAAGAACTAATACCAATTAGTCATTCTCTGAATTGACCACCGCATATGCTAAAGGGAGTAAACCTGCCAAGTAGAGTGACAACATACAGATTCAACAAAAAAAACAGAGACATTACTAAATTCAATTACAAAAAAGAATGACAATTGTGACACCCCAAAATTCGAGGGTCGGTTGATCACCCGTCAACCTGCGGAATACCCGTGGATATCGAGTAACTCGATATCGCGCCGTAATGTCCCATTTACCAGAATTCATAATTTAACAAAATTCGGACAAAGTCTCCTTTGTACGGAGAGCTCTACCCANAGTAACTCGATATCGCGCTGTAATGTCCCATTTACCAGAATTCATAATTTAACAAAATTCAGACAAAGTCTCCTTTATACGGAGAGCTCTACCTAAAACCCAACATGTACAATATACATTCATATGACCCATCTGAGGCTCAATATGGAACAATGACCGCACCGGGTCCATTTATGAGTAAAAATTGGTCACACCAGGTTCATTCATCCATACTCATACAAAAACATGCAAGGTTATATTAAAAATAGTCCATACGAGTTCAATTACAACTCTCTTACATAAAACTACATGTCAGAACTAGTTTGCTCCAAAAGTTTTACGAAAGGAGTTATAAGAGCCACAATTCAGCTTTCTTCACCCTTGTGGCCCCGAATGAGAGCCGTCCATCGGCATATATCCCGCACCTGAAATATTTTCCCATATAGGGTGAGCCACGCCCATTAGAGTAAGTCCTACATAAGCTATTCCCCACCTAAGTGTACATGCAATGTTCACATACAACATTCACCATTCACACAATCATTCCAAATAAGAATATACATGTTCATGTTGGAATCTACCATGTCATGCCATGAATGAAATGAGATTCATTCATGCACATCAATCCGAGCCCTCACCAGCTCACTCCACACTATGCAATGCAAGTGTAAAAATCTTTGTCATTGATGAAATACATCCAATGATCATCTTTGAAGATAAAAGTCAAGTGTTTATAAAACCAATTCATTTCTGGATATTTTCCATCAAATGAATCATTTATATAACCAAAAATCATGTGTCTTTATTTGGGCAGTGGACTTTTGGTGTTGCACTGCCGGCTCCACACACTGATACACTTTTTTGGACTTGCATCGTAGGAAGTGTATAAACCAGTGGTCGGGCCTTGCACCCGAGGGGGGATCTATCACTTCTTGCTATACTCAATACAAGTTTTTTATGCATGCAACCGTGCGACTTAGTAGGATATTCAAGCCCACTTTTTCAAGCCCACCCATCAAAACACCAAGTATGGTGATTGATCCAACCATGCACTCACACCCATGAAATGCGATGTGTTCTCCATGCATATGCAATGTATGAACCATTGCACTACCAACATCATGCCTAAGGTAATGAATGTCCATTGAGCAATTTAAACCACATGTCTACATGTTCCATGGCAATTCATATCATAAGCATATAAATTCCATAAATCATTACAATGTCAATATTTCAATAAGCACATATTAACATTTCTTTTCAATCATTTCATCATATATCATGGACA